CTTTATCCGAAAGCTCACAGTGTTACTAGAAAGAAGGAGGTATATTCTCTGCATTTTCCCCATTTTTAAGTAGATGAAATCCTCAGTGAAATGGACTAAGCCAGCTGTGCTCAACCTCTGGCCCATGGGTGGAATCTGGCCCATAGAGCTCTTTCATGCAGTCTGTGGGATTCCTCATGGGTCTGAAAGTTTGGCACCAGGGGAGTGGTGACAGTGTTAATTCCTGCAGTTCTGGAAATGGCTTTGGAAGCTGTGGTAATTAACACTGTCACTGCTTTCCCACTGCCAAATTTCCAGACCTGTGAGGAGCCCTGCAGACTGCAAGGCGCAGCCTGGTGTATTGACCTGGGCCAGTATGTGGGATTGCCTCATGGCTGCATTTGGTGTGCGGGGCTGGGCTGGGGTGATTATGCTGGATTACACTTGTGCACTGACCCCAGGCTTGATATGGCCTATGGACTGACCCTGTCCATGGGATTTAGCTTGTGGAATGAACCTGTGTCATTCTTCTGGCCCACAGTGTGAGAAAGTTAAGCAGCACTAAACCTGAGGTGTTACAGTTTAGCTTTATTCTACTGCAGGGTAAGGTCATATGGACAGTTACTGTGGAACAGTTGATTTCTGATAAAATCTCTCTCCCTTCTTATCTTGTCGGTCCATATCTTTCCTTCTCACCCGCTTGTGGTAGAGTTTTGAGCTGAAAAGTGGAGCCACTGTAGGAGCTGAGCTCAGTTAGAATATAATATGAATAATAAAACTGGTTATTTTACAGAAGGGGGCCTGTTAGCCATAGAAAATTGGGGTTGGAGGGGACCTCAGGAGGTCATCTAGTTCAACTACCCACTCAAAGCAAGACCATGCCCAGCTATATCATCCCAGCCAAGGCTTTGTCTAGCCAGCTCTTAAAAACATCCAAGGATAGAGATTCCACAACCTCTCTGGGTAACCTGTTCCAGTGTTTTACTACTCTCCTAGTGAGAAAATTCTTCCTAATACCTAACCTAAACTTCCTTGGCTACAACTTAAGACCATTGCTCCTTGTTCTGTCATCTGCCACCACTGAGAACAGTCTAGCTCCATCCTCTTTCAAACTCCGCTTCAGGTAGTTGAAGGCTGCTATCAAATCTCCTCTTAGACTTCTCTTCTCTAGACTAAATAAGCCCAGTTCCATCAGCCTTTCATCAGAAGTCAAGTGCCTCCGCCCCCTTATCATTTTTGTTGCCCTCCTCTGGACTCTCTCCAATTTGTCCACATCCTTTCTTTAGCGGGATGCTCAAAACTGAACATAGTACTCCAGATTTGGCCTTGCCAGTGTTGAATAGAGGGGAAGAATTATTTCTCTTGACCTACTGGCAACATGCATACCAATTCACTCGAGGTTGCTGTTAGCCTTCTTGGCAACAAGGGCACACTGCTGACTCGTATCCATCTTATTGTTCACTGTAACTTGCAGGTCCTTTTCCTCAGAGCTGCTACTCAGCCAATCAGTCCCCAGCCTGTACTGGTGTACGGGATTGTTTTGAGCTAAGTGCAGGACTTTGCACTTGTCTTTGTTGAACCACATGAGATTCCTTTTGACCCAATCCTCCAATTTGTCTAGGTCACTGTGGCAGGCGGGTAGGTCACTGTGAAAGGCGGGTAGGGGCGCTTTAACCCTAGCACTCACCTTTTGGGTGCGTTTGCATTTCATCAGAGGTCGTTGCAGAGGTGCAAGCCCTGAGGCGGAGAGTGGGGGCCAGGTATGGCTGAGGACACCTGAGCCCTGCAGGGTGCAAGCCCCGAGGAGGAGAGTTGGGGCCAGGTATAGCCAAGGCCGCCTGAGCCCTGCAGGGGTTTGAGAACCCGAGAGGGAAGGTTGGGGCCAGGTACGGCTGTGGCCACCTGAGCCCTGCGGGAGTTCGAGACCCCGAGAGGGAAGGTTGGGGCCAGGTACGGTTGTGGCCGCCTGAGGCCTGCAGGGGTTCGAGACCCCGAGAGGGAAGGTTGGGGCCAGGTATGGCTGTGGCTGCCTGAGCCGTGTGGGGGTTTGAGACCCCAAGAGGGAAGGTTGGGGCCAGGTACGGCTGTGGCTGCCTGAGCCCTGCGGGGGTTCGAGACCCCGAGAGGGAAGGTTGGGGCTAGGTACGACTGTGGCTGCCTGAGCCCTGCGGGGGTTCGAGACCCCAAGAGGGAAGGTTGGGGCCAGGTATGGCTGTGGCCGCCTGAGCCCTGCGGGGGTTTGAGACCCCGAGCGGGATTGTGGGGCCAGGCACAGCTATGGCCACATGAGCCAATCAGGAAGCAGAGCGAGAGAGTCGAGTCCTGACCCTGATAAGTCCTCCACTGCTGGGAGGCAGAGTGGGTTGAAAGTAACATCCAGAGTAGCACCACGACCTGCTGCCCGGGGGGGGAGTGAGAGTCCCCTGTGAGACCCTGGGGCACCAGTCGTGGTGTGAGGTACCCCAGCTTCCCATGTCCAGGAAGGGGGACCTGGAGAGAGTATGGGCTAGTGAGGGCAGAGGTAGAGTGCCCCCTCGACTGGCTCATGCTAGGGTCAGGACCAAGAAGGTCAAAAGGGCCAGGGGCCCACCATGAGGGGCACCCAGAGTCATGGGCGTGGGGCCGGACCCCGCCTGGCTTTTGAGGTGAGGCCAGGGCCTGTGTATGGCCGAAGGTCCTGAGTAGGGACCACGCCCGAGAGGGGAGCTAGCTACGTGGAGTTTGGCAGCCCAGATGAAGGCGGCATAGGCCGCCAGAGTGGGGGGAACCAAAGGAGGGTCCTATGAGGAGGATTTTGGAGCCTAGTGTGGGGCTAGTGTGCTTGTAACATCTGGATGCCATCTGCGAGGTTTGGGCTGTGGTGTAGGGGAGGATAGGAGCTGCAGATAGCGCTTCTGGCATCGGTGCAAAAAAATGGGCAGCCTCCCGCCTTATTTAACAGCTTATCAATTTTCCAGCAAGTCGTGGTGCGCGAGACAGGCGGGTGGTGTGCCCGGAGGCGGGTGGGAGGCTGGTGACAGCTGCCCGAGAGGAGCCCATTTTGCTACAGTCACTCTGGATCCTAACCCTACCCTCCAGTGTATCTACTGCTCCCCCCAGATAGGTGTCATCTGCAGACTTGCTGAGGATACACTTTATGCAGGTCATTGATGAAGACATTGAACAAAACCAGCCCCAGGACTGACTCCTGGGGTACTCGATACCAGCTGTCACCTAAACATCAAACCGTTGATTGCTACTCTTTGAGCCTGAAGCTCCAGTCAGTTTTCTGTCTACCTTACAGTCTACTCATCTAGCCCATACTTCCTTAGCTTGCCTTTCAGCATGTTGTGGGAGACCATATCAAAAGCCTTGCTAAAATCAATATACACCACATCTACTGGTCTCCCTGCATCCACAGAGCCATTTACCTCATCACAGAAGTCAGGCTGGTCAGGCATGATGTGCCCCTGGTGAATCCATGCTGACTACTCCTAATCACTTTTTTTCTCCTCCAAGTGCTTAGAAATGGATTCCTTGAGGATCTGCTCCATGATTTTTCCAGTGACTGAGGTAAGGCTGACTGGTCTGTAGTTCCCTGGATCTTCCTCTTTCCCTTTCTTAAATATGGGCACTATGTTTGCCTTTTTCCAATTATCTGGGACCTCTCCTGATTGTCATGGGTTGCCAAAGATGATGGTCAATGGCTCTGCAATTACATCAGCCAACTCCCTCAGCGCTTTTGGGTGCATCCCATCTGGCCCTGTGGACTTGTACACATCTGGCTTTTCTAAATAGTCCCTAACCTGTTCTTTCAGTACTGAGGGCTGCTCACTTCTTCCCCAAACTGTGCTGCCCAGTGCAGTAGTCTGGGAGCTGACCTTGCCTGTGAAGACTGAGGTCTCAAAGGCATTGAGCACTTAAGCCTTTTCTGCATCCTCTTTCACAAGGTTGTCTCCCCCATTCAGTAGGGGACCCACATGTTCCCTGATCCTCCTCTTGCTACTGACATACTTTTAGAAACCCTTCTTGTTACCCTACACATCTCTTGCTAGCTGCAACTCCAGTTGTACTTTGGCCTTCCTCTCTTAATCCCTTCATGCCTGAGCAATGTTCTTATATTCTTCCCTAGTTGTTTATCCAAGTTTTCACTTCTTATAAGCTTCCTTTTTGTGATTTAGTTTACTGAAGAGTTTCCTGCTAAGCCAAGCTGGTCTTCTGTTATATTTGCTAGTCTTCCTGCGCATCAGAATGGTTTGTTCCTGCACTCATATTGTTCATTATCCATTACTCTTATCGACATGAATCTGTGGCTTTTACCAAAAATATCCTGGTTCATGGAGATGGTGCAGCTGACTAGGAGAGAGGCCCTTCTATCACTAGCTCCAGGTTGTATTTCTTTCCCCTTAAAGACCTTTAGATTCCATGACCCTTGAGAAATAATGCTATGTAAACATATGTTTCATGGCTTCTGAGACTGTTTGTTTTAAAATGCAGTATTTTTTGTCAGATTTTTATGTTAATCACTGGAAAAAATCTGATTTTATTGTCGGGAGAGATCTAATAAGTGTTCAGAATATCTAATTATGATCCAGAAATATTTTAATACAATTTCATTTGGGTTCTCTTATTGAAATGTAATGTTTGGTTAATATTAATATCAACTAGGATGGCATAAATATGTTTTGCTTTGATGTAGGACATTATGATGAAAGAGGGGGGACCGTCTTAATCAGAAAGATTTTTCCCAGAAACCCTGGTTTTGGCCAGCCTTAGTGTTGGAGTCAAGCCTGTCAAACATCTGTTTTTCTCTGGTCTGTCTCCACCGTTTGTGTAGGGTTTTTCTTGCTTGTTTGTATGTTTTCATTGCAATATGTGCTAGCATACTGAAGTGTTTTTCTGAGCTAGTGAGGGGAAAAAAAGCATACATCCTTAATGTCTTGGAAATTACATTCTATAATTCCCTTATTCTAATGTGAAGAAATCTTTAACTGCTCAAGATAATGGCTCTAATACCTTTCCCATTTTTGCTTTCTTAATAGGTTACAAAGACAGAATTGGAAAAATTAAAAGCTAGTTATAGACAATTAATAAAAGAAGTAAATTCTGCCAAAGAGAAGTATAAAGAAGCTATGGCTAAAGGTATGTTGTTACTGCTTGATACAGTACTACTGGTAGTTGTAGCTCTATTTTAATATTGCCTTGTACTAACTTTTTTTTTGCAATAAAACAATGATATATCTGTTCTGTTGAGTGAGACAGAACATAGTCCCTGCTACATGTGCAGGTAAAGGCGCAATGGGATCTAATGTGCAATTCACACAATCATGCCTTTTTCCACACCACATGTGCTTGGCAGGAAGTGCGATGGTGGGATTGCATATTAGATCTCATTGCACCTTATTGCAAGTGCAGGGGGAGCCTGATACTGGGCTCCCTCTGAATGGGCAATAAGCAAGCTCTCATGGCTGGGAGCCCCCTCAGCTGATGGCAGCTGTAGTGAAACCCATTCCATGGGTTTCACATGCCTCTGAGGCTTGGAGATTGTGGCTCTGGTGATCTTCCTGCCTGAGGGGTTTCACGGGCCCGTGGGTCTGGGAGATCATAGCTGTTTCCTGGGAATCAACCATAGGGTGCTGCCAGGACCCAGAGTCTGCAGCTGCTGGGGCTGAGTGTTGCCAGGAGTTGCAAGAGTTGCAGCCTGGCTGGGCAAGGTGCACCCTTGTGGCTGGGAGCTGACAGCTGACGGGGCTCCCAGCTTCAGGGAAGACCCTGCTACATGTGCGAATTAAAGTTTAATAGCAACTAGCTATAAAGTTAGTACATGTTTTTGAGGTCTAACTTTATAGCTGGTTAGAGCTTTTCATTGTGTGATAGCTGCCCTGCATGTGTAGCTGGTCTTAAGGTAATGGTGTATTTAACTAGTTAATTGTGCGATACTTGTAATGTGTAGAGGAGGACTTTGTCATAATCTTTGTTTATATATAAATGTTTCTTCTTGATACAGTTATTTAAAAGATTCCTGAAATGTGAATCATTTTGTGTAGGATTTTTCTTTTTCTCTTTAATTGACTGACTTGGAACATAAAATAAACACACACATACACAGACCTTGTGTCTTAATGCTAAATTGGGGAGGAACCCCCTCCTCCCCCCAGTTTTCTGCTCATTTGTAGTCTGGGATATTTTTAGGGAGACAAAAGAAGTTTGGTGACCAAGTTGAAATTCGGTAAGTGCTGAGTGTCTTAATTCGTTGGGGTTCTTTGAAAGTCTTTGTGCTTTAAAGCTTGTGTGTGTGTGTGTGTGTGTGTGTGTGTGTGTGTGAGAGTGAGTGAGATTATTTGGGATCATAATTTTTTTTCCATCTTTTAAAAATTATTTTTACCCCTTGATGTACATTATATTAATTGAAATTAAATGAGCAGTGGAGTGTGAATATTATTACTGTTTCATATTTAACTGGTTATAACATAGTAGTTCCTAAAGTACTAATCAGAGATCTGGGTAGCATTGTGCTTAGGCACTACTCTTTCACTAACAAAGAAAAGAGTTCTTACCTTGCTTTCTAGATTTCAGACAACCAGTAGATAGTTGCAACAAATATCAGGGTAAAAATGAGTTAAAGATTATGTAACAATTACTACTAGCACAGCTGGGCTATTATGGTCTTATTGGCTTTCAGGTATAAAACAATCTAAATTAATTTGTTTGTCACCATCACGGATCCTGGTTTTCTCTGATTAAAAAAAAATCACAAATTCTCTGATACCTCCCCCCCCCCCCCAAATCCATTATTAAAATTAAAAGCCTCCTGCAGCCATCCCTAGTCCTGCTGGTGGCCCTCACTGCCCCACAACGGAGCCCCCAGCTGCCAGGGCTATAGGGCAAGGGACCCAAGTCTGCAGCTGTTTTCCCCCCAACAGCAGGCAGCTGCAGCAGAAGCATCATGGAGCCAGCTCCCCCACTGCTCTGCTTGCTCTGGTGCGGGTGGGGCCAACTCCTGGATCCCCCCCAGCCCTGCCAGAGGGGCCCCCAGCCCTGTGCAAGCCCTTCTTACCTGAGGCTCCAGGAGTGAAGAGTGAAGCTCAGCTGAGTGGAGCTGTGGCTGACTGAGAGCCTCAGGCCCTGCCCTTTCCTCTCACCCTTTGGGCAGTGCTGGGGGTTTCCTGCCCTTCTTGCAAATAGCTCTTGCAGGCTGGAGCTCAACCAGCCTGCAGAGGTCTTTGCAAAAGCAGGGAATCCGTGGGTTTCTCTGCTAAAAGGAGAAATCTGTGATTTTTCTGTTTTTCCATGGGAAACAGAAAACCAGGATCCCTGGTTATCATTCCTTCTGATTTTTAAAGCTGTCACCTACAGATTACTTAACTATGATGGTCTGTCTTTAAATAGTCATGTTATCTCTACATTCTTAGAGAATGCAACAACTTCTGTGATCTCAACAAGCAGCATTCCTTCCTCTTTTGCTCACTGTGGTCTTATTCTGAATTTGTTGTGCACTCATTGAGAATCAGTGAGAGGTCTGGATCCTCTGCTGTTGCAAGATTGGGGCTGGTGTTTTGCTGCTACTCTCTGGGCAAATGAAATTAGTCTTTTGCAAATGTTCTCAGAGCTATCATAAAAAAGAGCTGTTTTTGTTTGGACTGTTTAATTTATCCTGCTACTGTTTTTCCTGAGCTTCACTTTTATTTGCCTTCTCTTATTAATAGCTCACTCTTATTAAATTAATAGTTACTCTTATTAAATTAATAGTTAATGTAAAACAGTGTTTCCAGTGTCTGATTTGTAACACTCAGAAGGGATTTGACAGGGTTTTCCATAAGGGCTGCAGAATGTAAACTATGAAGATTTATTTTTTCAAACAAGAAAAGTTCTGTTACAACATTTGGAAAATGAGTATATAATTTTAGTAATTTCAATGAGCAACCAGTTTAAGTTACTGAATTAAATGCGCTTCCTGTAATAGATGAATATACTATGATCTCACTCTCTGTAAGAAAGAGGAATAACTCTTTTATATTGATGAACAATGTAACCAAACTGGGAATAGAGAAGTAAATACTGATGTAGCTTTGTTGAGTGAAGGTACTCTATCTAGTCTGCTTCACCTCATAAGTATTGAAAGGTATGTCTCAGTTTTGTCGTTTATTTTGTAAGGACTGGAAAGTGCCTGTTGCCTCATCTCTAATGGGACTCACATAGCGAATAATTGTTTACATACAAAAGGAGAGAGAGAAACCAACAATGTGTTAGGTTTCTGTTTGGCTGGCAGAGTATGTCCTCTGGAGCTGTAATTGTTGGTAGACTGTATGTAGCTGGAAGCTGCAGATGTGCTGAATCTGGTCCAGTGTTTACAATGATATATTATAAATAAATATGAGTCTCCAAAACTGTCCAGCAGGAATATGAGAAGAAATAATTAGAGGATTTCTAAATTGTGGTGTCTTATTATTCCAAGAATTAGTAGAGGTATCCTTTCTAAGTTCAGAATATTGAAATTGATGTGATTTGTGGATCAAACAAGAGATGCATTAAAAATCTAGGAACAACTGCCTTTGACTTGGGTATAGCACAATATTTGGTAAATTGGAGTTCTTGACTGTTCCCTAACAAGTCAATTGTGTTGGCCCATCACTGTTGTCAGTGGCTCTTCTAAAGTTGATTGGGTCAGTTATGTATTGTGATCAGAGAGAGAAGTTTCTGTTTTCTAGAAATTTAAAATATGTTTTGTATGCTTGTATATCATATTACTTGTTTAATTCAAAGAAAATTTCAGTATCTCCATTTCAACCATGGGTGCTTCGAGCAGTTTTAAATCTTGAGATAGACTAAGTATAAATAACTAAGATCTCTGGACTGAGGTAAGGGTGTGAGTCTTTATTGTGCATTACCTGTTCCCTGGTAATTGCCTGCATGCAGGATCTTTCTCTTCTTTTATTGAGAATTTAATGTCTCCAGTTTAATTTTTACTTACTGTGGAGTGAATGTGTGCACATGGGCAGTTCCTGCTGAGTAGCTAACATGTGGTAAAGCCCAGACCTCTTTCACCACAGCAAATTGTTCAACTTTCCATACCTTGTACTTCTATTTGATTTATGTCCTGTTGTGGTAAGTTATGTTTCCTTTGCACAGTTATTACTACAGGCTGCCTCTATTTTCTTTTACTTACATAATATTACTTAAAAAAACATTGCCTTCCTTGAACATTATGGGGAGGTACTGTGTTCAGAAGGATTTCCAGGCTCAGTAAAATGAGTACATTTTTTACCATTAGAAAGATTAAAGCAGCAGCTTAAAAGCAATATGAGAATTGTTAGGAGAAGTAATTAAAGGCACTATTCCCTCTATTTAATAGGTGGAAACACTTATTTAAAGAAAAGTTGTGGGAGGGAGGAGTGGAAGGAAAGAGCAGAGAAGTTCAGGAATGAAAATGTATGAATCCTACAGCCATGCAGAAATGAGCACCAACATAATAGTAATAAATTGGGGAAAGGACACATCTGATGATCTGCTCTCCTCAGTAGTGCCCAGAGATGCTCTGTAATATTATCTGCTGCTCATTTTAAGAAGACTGTGTAGTTATGTTAATAATTAAAACTATATTTTCATTCTAGCTAACATTATTAAACCTTAAAGTTAACATTAAACAAATATAAATTGTATTAATACCTTAAAGTACTTGTATTTTTAAAATGTACAATTGGATGATAATTACTGTTTTTGTAATATGGTATTAAATGTACAGGTTCTGACTACATATTTTCTTTATTGCAAGATTTTGAAAAAGGGACTGACACATTAAGCATAACCAGTCTTTCAGAGCCTCAGTTTGAACCTTATAATTATATTGCTAGACGGATGGCTAAATATTATGTGAGAAACACCTAGTTTTAAATACCTTATCCCAACGATTTTATCTACTGCATATAGTCAAATATATTAGATGATCCTGAATATAAGACAACTCCCCCCAATAATTAGATTCTATATATTGAAAATGATAAATTTGTTATAATGTTCCAGGTACAGAATGTAATTGTTGGAGGTTTGCCTTCACTTTATCCATCTCCCACTGCCACAGCAAGGAAAAATAAATTGGGGTGGGGAGGGTTGTCAGGTATCCCCCTTGCTCTCTACCCGCCTCC